AAGTAGTGGAAAAGCTGAAGGCAATAATGCAGTTCCTGTTTCACATTTAAACATAGAAGTATAATTTAAGTAATCCATTTCCATTTTTATTCGAGAGTGATAATGGTTAACAGTGACCAGAATTTGTTTACTGCAGAAACTAATTTACATATTTAAAAAAGAAATGGTCTTCTTTGCTGACCTTACAATTTAACAACCTCAACCACTTTTATTATCTTCGTGTGTGAAACATTATTTGGACCTTCACATGGTGAAGTACTTTTTTAATAAAGAGCACTTTTGTGGAAAAGACCGACCTCTATTGGCGTGCAATGCTTACTCGTACATTGGCATCTGCTAATAAAAAAACCACTCCGGGCTATAAAATTAGTAAAGATTAGACTATAGTTTTGTGTTGCTCAAATGCTTCTGGAGAATATAAACTACATTAGATGTAGTAAGAAAGTCAAAAAAAGGATATAAAAAATTCCCAGTCGAATATTATAATCACTGTTCTGCGTGAATGACGAGATACATTTTTGAAATGTGGTTTAAAAATAAATTTGATCCACACATAAAACATATATGGCCCGGTAAAGTCTTATCCAAAAAGATACATCTTCCATCAAATGATCTGGTTACAAAAAATAACTAGATTCCTTTACAATTTTGGGGATCAACTACACTTTGAGATGAAGTATATAAAATATCGTATGCCTAGGAAGCCTGTGGCAATTTCTAAAAGTGATGAACTTTTATACATCCAGGTTGTGAACAACTGCATGGAGATATGTTTAGATAATAGTGAAACCAAACCAATGTCTGAACCGAGTTCACTCCAGAAAAGCAGTGATGAGGACATAGAATGACGTCTCAGAATCAGAATCTAAAGACAAATTATTATATCAGATCATTTCTGTTTTATTTATAGACTCTACCTCCGGAAGTAAAGCGTAAGCTTTCACTATATTTAAGGCAAAAGATATCTGGAATCAGTGACGTACATCGAAAAATGCTAGATTTCCGGGAACCATATATTCTTCAACGGCTATTAGCTGGATATGTGCAACGACAAATTAATTTGAAGATATCTTAAAATTAGCTGGATCTAATTTGATAATATGTATTAAAAGAAATTGCTATAGCAGCTAATATCATAATTTTGAAATTACCTCCACACACAAGTCATTTACTGCAGCCTCTTGATTTAATCGTATTTAAATTTCTCGAACCATACTAGAACCAGGAATCAAATATTAATGAAATGGCAAAATATATTGGTTCTTAGGTTCCAAAATGAAAATTTGCTAGAATAATTGAGGAAATTTGGCTAAATTTAGACCCAAATATCATTATGACATACATTTTAGAAAATGTGGTCTCCAATGAAATTTTTAATCTGATTATCTTGAAGCAATGGAATGAGACAAATACGAAAATATTTTAGTATCTGCAGCAGAACCAGAATAAAAACCAAGAGTCCTAACAGTCCTAAAAGTTTCTAAGAGTGCACTACATTAGAAATGGTGATTTTCAGGATAATCCGTCAAAATGTTTTACAGACAATTCTCTCTTTGTTACTCTTGTATCTTGGTTCTTATAGAAATAGACAAATCAAATATTTCGTCGAATGCAGAAAAGAAAGGTTGCAACTGTAGTGGAAGTAATAACTAGTGGAAGAGGTTGTATAAAAATTAATTACAGAACATCAGCTAAAGCAAAAAACTGCCATAAAGTCATGTCGCATATTGACAGCGTTTCAGAATATTAAAAAATTAACAAAAATATACCAAAGATACCCAAATATACACTAATTTTCTTTTTGGCTTTGATAACTGTAGAGGGCTGATATAAATTATTTTTATACAAGGATACAAAGAAGCTTATCATTACAATTATATCAAATTAAATCAATCGCAACTGAATTACTCAACATTTTAATTTAGTCTTCGTTAATGACAACCTTGTTGATACTTGACGCTTCATATCTGGTGGAGGTGTGATCTCCTTGATTTAGGCACTGCATTATATGATCTTAATGAAATAGATTTTTTTTAAGTGAATGTTTCTAATTTCACATTGCATGACTGTAATTTTATATTGATTTTGATTTTATCTTCCAACTGTAACCTAACTTTATGTATTAAAGCCACGCTTGATTATTGGCCATTCTGTCTAGTTACTATACAAATTTTAGTAAGGTTTAGATGAGCAAAAAACTTTGCTATTCTTCAAGGTCTTCTGGCGTAGTTGAGTTCTTATGTCGCTGATCATTACTAGGCGTTGCGATTTGATAGTTCAGTGTCTGCTATTTGCTGGGCAACTTTTGATGATCCCAAGAGCAGCCATCTGGGTTTCATCCCCTTCACATTAATGACCACATCATCACTTTTGGATACTTTATGACCCATCTTAAACAAGCGATATTACTTACCTGAACTAGGTCGATCAGAATATCTCGTACAAAACATCGCTTTTACAACCTCCTTCCCCAGAAGATGTCATCGATTTACTCCTTTCCGTGTTTTTAATTCTTGGTACATCTTGGACCTTACCAATTTGTTCCGTGGAACCGTCTGACATAAATTTTCTAACGGTATTTGTGTTTTCTTTTCATTGTCATATGGTTTAAAACTGATTTTCGACGATGTCTTAATTTTCTGTGCAGCGGATTTTCCAAAATCTGGTTGAAGAATGTTTCTGATTGAATACTTTAGCATATCGATCGTTGATTCTTCATATTTTTTTTTGGAGCAGGTGGCGAGTATGATGATTCCGACGGGTTGTAAAAAATCATAGAATCGGTACTGGGTGATCTTGAATATGAAGAAAAGAAAGATCTCCAGAAGTCAGGTGCTATTTGTGTTAATTGAAAATTAAAGTGGCTTTGAAGTTAAACTCGCGTTTCTCAATCAAAAGAAATTGGAAGAAAATTATTAGTTTTGGTAATGTTTCTTTAATTCCTGTTGCTGTTGGGGTTGAAATTGGAGTTGTCGATGGGGTTGGGTTGGGTTGGGTTGGAATGGTTGGACTGGATAAAAACGAGGTGTGTTGAATTTGAGTTAACCAAAAACATTCTATTGGTACCTTCTTCTTGGGTGATGTTCTTCTGGGTTTCATCCCCTTCCCATTAATGTCCAAATCATCACTTTTGGATTCTCCAGATTCTTATCCAAAATAAAGTTTGAATTATTTACTACATTAGAGTTACTAATGCCAAGAAGAACATCTATCGTTGAAGAGGCAATAGATGAAATTGAAAGATACAACAATAAGTAAACAAATCAAAATATGTTTTTATGTGTATTTTTTTGATGTTGAGGTGATTGGAGCTGTAGTTATGCAGAGTCGTGAGGAATTTGAGAAAATGCATTAAATCTACCCATTGAATACTTCCATGACATGTTTGACACTAGATTAGAGAAAATAATGTATTGAACTTAAAAAGGACAATGTTCCAATCAAACCAATTGGATTGGTTGTTATAAGTGGAGTACTCTACGAAATATACCTATTTTGAAGAAGAGTACTGAAATACTATGACCTATTTAGATTGAGCAGAATAACATTAAACGAGTTAAGAGGATGTAAATTGCAAATTGATAACGATTTAACAAGAACACATCGTGAATACTTTGACCACAAAAAGGATAATCACAAGAAAATCGTTATTGTCAATTGGAACGATTCTAGGTCAGCACTTATAGTACCTAGTTCTGCTATAGTTTGTAATACAAAGATGTTTAAAAGAAGATAAACGAAAACCAAATTTGTTAAAATATATGAGTCATATACAACATTAATTATATTTCTATAGTATAGATTTTATCTATCACACTTACGTTTAATTGATGTCACTCATAAACAGAATGTTATCAAATAAAACTTAAATTAAGTTATTTCTAAAGTTATTACGAAATCACAACGGAATTGATACAATCAATCAAACGTCAAGTCTCATCAAATTGTAGTGATACGATACGAATAGTTTTGTAAATATTTTCTAATGAAACACGTAATTCAAGGGTATGTTTACGAACAAATAAATCAATTAATTAAATAAAAAAATAATAATCAATTATATTAGTAAATATTAATTTTATACTTTAACTATCAATAATTTCTAAAATGTCAAATTACTCATATCGGAAATAAATATTTTTTTTATTTAATTAAATTTATTTAATCGTTTCGAAAAAATTTCTTAATTAAATTTAATTTTGCTCATCTTTTTCCCAAACAATTTGTTTTGACGATAATGGTTTTTGAATTTAAAGTTGATGCCTTTCGGATTTGCTTTCACGTCTAGATTGATAATAAAACCATTACGGTCTCTCCTTCTCTCTCTCCCTCCGACCACACTTATTAATACATGGCACTTGAAGCTTAACCGTTCGCATTGAATTACGTCGGATCGGCGGCAGCAGCAACGGCGGCGGCGTTGCGACGCTCTTTTCGAACCACGCCCTCTACCGGCAAAAACAAACACGCCGACGTCTCAATCTTACGTTTACATCTCCCACCACTCATATTTGAACCAATCGTGGACTCCGAAACAACGGCACGCCCCACAAACGATTGGCAGATGTTCTCGACAATTGAATGAGACGTATATAGAGGATGAGAGAGAAGGATGGAAAAAGGGGAATCGATTTTTAGAAAAAGAGAAAAAATAAAAATGAAATGGAAAAAAATTAAAATGTTTGTTTTTTTGTTGAATTAGGATTTCTTTCGGGTATTTTTTTAAATTTGTTTATGAATTAATAAAATGAATTATGAGGATTTTCAGGACACATGCGCTTTATTGAAAGTGGAAAGGGAATCGTGGTGTTCTTCGTGTGTGGCATTTCCACCACGCGCAACTCGATACGGACAAAAGGTTGGAAAAGGTGCGACAAAGATAGAGTTAAAACGACCAGAGGTAGGATTCGTAGAGTAGGATAGAAGATTTTTCGATGGGCGTGGTTACGTAGGGGTCCACCGTGTAATAAAGATGACTATTTTGAAAACTCACTCAGTTTGACAGCGTACTTATCCAAGTAAGCACTTGTTTAGGAGTGACTTGTTTTGAGTAAACACACACAGCACACTTGATTTTCGCCGCGTATATAGTGGATCGAGTTATATTATTAGTTACATTAGAAATCGAAAAATAAAAATTGTGTTTCCATGGCTTTTGAAGATCGTTCGAGTCCAAATGCGGCTCCCAGTCCGGAAACAACTGATAACAACATGACCATCAACTCACCAAATTCCCCGGAATCCACAAGAACATCACCCTACACTTGCACCACCATCACCCAACAAGAAGGTACCAATAGAATGTTTTTGGTTAACTCAAATTCCACACAACAAAAAATCAATCATCAAAATTTCTTTAGTATCGCCTCGTTTTTATCCAGTCCGAAAAGTAATCACGACGAATCTTTGTCCGTATCCCCATCAACATCACCATCAATAACACCAACGACAACCCCCATGTCAACCCCATCGACAACTCCAATTTCAACCCCAACAGCAACAGAAATTAAAGAAACATTACCAAAACCAGGAATTTTCTCCCAATTTCTTTCCAATGAGAAACGAGAGTTTCTCTTCAGAGCCAGTTTACCATTTCCTTCATATCCAAGATCACCCAGTACCGATTCGATGGTTTCTTACAACCCCTCGGAATCATCAAACTCGCCACCTCCCCAAAAAAATGACGAAGAACCAACGATCCAGACGCTAAAGTATTCAATCAGAAACATTCTTCAACCGGATTTTGGAAAATCCGCTGTACAAAAAATTAAGACATCTCCAAAAATCAGTTTTAAACCATACGAAAATGAAAAGAAAACACAAGCACCGTTAGGAAGTTTATGTCAGACGGTTTCACAAATTGGTAAAGTCCAAGATGTGCCAAGAATTAAAAGCCCGGAAAGTAATAAATCGATGACGTCTTCTGGGGAAGAAGGTGGCAAAAGCGAGGATGGCAAGGTTCCTCCTGTTTGGCCCGCTTGGGTGTATTGTACGAGATATTCTGATCGACCCAGTTCAGGTAAGAATCGAAAAAAAATTGTTCTATTTTTATTCGATTGGTAACACTAAAATTGATCACTTGTGGTGATAAAATTCTATTGAAATTGGTATAAAGATACACGTAAGGAGATAAATTAACACTATTAAGGCAGCAAAATGGCATTTACATTAACATTCTAAGCGGTTATTGTTCTGATTCTTGTGCAACTCCATTTACCAAACGACCAATAATATTGTTTTTCAATTCACGATAGAGTGAAAATTGCACAAAATGCTTATCTTAACAGCATTCCACTGTGTACATGTGGGTAGTAATTTTGCTTTAACAATTGACAGGTTTTTGATTAAATCACGCGAGAACATTTTACATAATCTCATAAAAGTAAAAATAGGCAAGAAAAGATTTCAAAAAAATTAATAGTTTTAATTAGAGAGGTCAAAAATAGATTTGCAAAGAGATTATCTTATTTTTGCACAAATTGTCAATCACTTTTAAAATTTGTTACAAGTTCAAAGTTTATATACGTTATTTTTGTATCGATTGATTTAATCGCTTATTTTTATTACACTCATCTTCATTAATCGAAAATATCTGCAAAAAAAAACGATACTACCGGAGATTATAACGTGATAAATTGCTAAATTTAGAATTTATTGTAAATAATTTTAGGATATTTATCTTTGAAATCTATCGATAAGATGTTTTTTTTTTGTTGGGTCGGATTGGATTGAATTGGATTATGTTGGTAATCTGGGATGATTAATAGTTTATAAAAAAACGTGACCAACTTGTCTAACTTAAATATTTTATACTATAATTATTGTGTAAAATTAATACACAACCTTAAAATCAAAAATTAATGAATCTAAATAAATATTAATGTTTGTTATTAAGTAGAAATATTGTTTGCATAAAGTTGTTTGTTATGAATCATATAAATGTAATAACCAATTTTAGTCTAGTTATGTGTAACTTTTAGGTGTAAAGCAGAAAAACTTGAAATTGAAGTTTTTAGTTATTGAACAGGTTGGGTCGACCTGGACCAACCTGTTCCAAATATATGAAGTTGAAACTATTGATCTTTGATGCTACTTTTCTTATGCAGAGGATATTAATAACAATATGTAAGGAAGTCTGCAATCCACAAACCACTTTTGCCTTAGAGCGGCCAACCTTAACTTGCCCCTGAACAAGGTTTTTGATGTTAATTAACATTAATTAGAAGTTTTGAACAGTATCAAAAGATCTTCTCCATTTTGGCATTACCATCATATCAAATATCTATTGTGTGCTGAGGCAACGAAGTTTTATCTTCGACGAACAGTAGAGATAGTAGCCGTTGTCGTATGCATTTGAGACCATATACTTATACAAATATCTATTATATACTAAGTCAACGAGGCTTTATCTTCGCTTGCTAACGAGGCATTGAAATAGAAGTTATCAATACTCGTACATGTATCTACTGAAACCACGAAGGTTTATCTTCAAGCTGACAATGGATCGTTACTTGTACAACATTCGCTTGCACATTGATCATGACACTTATACTGTGCTAGTTTTCTTGCATTTACATTGACAATCAAGTTTTAGTTTTGATATACAATGAATAGAGATTTTAGCCAAGTTCGAGTTCTGATCGAGGTACTGTTTTTGAGAGAAATCTTTGGCTTTGAAGATTATTAATTTTCTTATGAGTTTCATATTACTAAGTACATGGACCAACAATTAGCTGCTTTTGCGTCTTTTTGACCTTTTGTGCTTTATTCTTATGTCACTTTTCCTTAAACATCTATTTTTGAACCTTGTCAGAAAAACATTCATTTTATCTGGTCATTGTTTCCACAATATTACAAGACAATGTTACTTGTACTACAAAAATGATAACAGAATAATTGATCAAATTATTTCTAATGCCAGTGAAGATCCATCTAAACATGCGAAGCTATTTAGTCCAATCAGAGGTAAACATCTCGTTTGAATTTGTCAAATTTTAGAATCAACTTAGGTTGGAACTAAAAACTAAATATAAATAAACGAAATCGGTATGATTTCATCGACTTCAATTTAAAGAGGACTAATTAATCTACAATGTATACCATTTAGAAAGCTTTTAAGTTATTAAGTACGTTATGATTTAAAAAAAAATCTCAATTGATTTCAATTAAGGTAAAAATAATCAAAGTTAATTAGTTTTAGGAACAATTACGATCGATTTTCAATCTCGATATAAAAAGAATCGAGTTAAGTAATAAAAAATTAATAGTCGTATCGTCGATAAGAACCTGTAAGTGCGAACGAAGCATTTAATTATATAGCTCGTTAGGTAGAATAACATTTATTATAGAGACGTACGTACGAGGTCTGACAGCAATTAGCTCTCTGATATTTGGAACCACTCTAGATTATCGTTACGATAAGTTCTGTTCTTAAAAAAAACTGACAGAATCTTTATAAATAAACTTGTTGATGATCATCAAAGTAGGTACACGAAATTAAATTTAAAAAAATTTTATTTTTTGGATACCTCTCTTGTGTGTAGGTATATATTTATTAAATTTATAGTTTTATTATCCCGGAAAAATAAATATAGTTACATTAGATAAAACTTGGTGATTGTAAACACTATAAATTAATCCAATACTTCAAACACATCTACCTGCTTAGTTTAGATATATACTCCATCGTTTATCACCAAGAACCCATTTAACGATATACATCAACCGTTTTCCGCACCTTGCTGCTTGCCCAGAAGCAGAGAAATAAGTAACGAGACTGGAGCGCATCGTTTGTCACTCGTCTAGGTGCTAAAAATTATAAGTAAAACTCCCGAATAGTGGTAAAGCTGTCGTCGCGGTGATAAGTGCTTTTTAAGTAGAAGACCAGTTTCGAGGCTTCTCGTTCCTGTAGGTGGACTATTTTTAGAAATATGAATTTCTAAATGATTTCCTAAAACAAATTTATAAAACCTTCCAACTCTTCGCCGACTTACATTAATGATATTAATGACATCTGCCTTACGATATCTCGAAGCGTCTATCAGCAATCTGTCGTTTTCCAAAAAGCTATCATCAAAGATGTATCGACATGTCAACGGGGACGTGTACGTGTCCCAGACGGAGGCAAAAGCAGCGATTTTTCAACACATTTCAAACTGACATCGAGAACCCATTGTTTTCCTTTTGACGATCTGTTCTAAAACAATTAGTTATGGGTTCTGACTTTTAAGCTACCGTTTTTAAAAGATATTTTTTAAAAGATTATTTTTCATTCTTTATTAGTTAGTTCTACTTTTAGTTCAATAAAATTATACAACAATCTAGTAATAACAACTAAAACTAGAACTAACACAAACATTAGAACTAACACTAGACTTATAAAATAACGAAGTAAAACTATTTTAATACAAACGATTTATTCAGAAACCGAGGCAGCTATGCTGCCGAGGCAGTAGTTCTAAATTTTCAATAAAACATAAGATAAAGTAAAGTTTTCTTTAATACAAACGCATTAAGTTTTAAAAATTCGTATATAATCCAGTTCCTGGAATGTGAGTATGAAAATCTCCCAAAGTGTTAATAAAAGTGTCCTCTTTCCAATGAACCCACCCGTTTTGAAAGATTGCTCTTAGTTTTTGAGAAAACAATATTTGAAGTTTTGATAAAATTTTCGATGTTGCAATTTTCATCGATAACATTCAAAATTCGCTATAAAATTAATTGCTTGAAGAATCCTTGTGGAAATATCACCAATTATTAAATAAAGTGTCCTCTTTTTAACGCAACAAGCCGTTTTGGAAAATCACTTTCAGTTCTTGAGAAATAAATCTTTGAAATGATCGACAATTTTATCAAATTTTGCAATTTTCGCCGATTAAGATTTAAAAATTCGTATAAAATCCAGTTCTTGGTATATGAGTATGAAAATCTCCCAAAGTGTTAATAAAAGTGTCCTCTTTCCAATGAACCCACCCGTTTTGAAAAATTGCTTTTAGTTTTTGAGAAAACAATAATTGAAGTTTTGATAAAATTTTCGATGTTGCAATTTTCATCGATAACTTTCAAAATTCGCTATAAAATTCATTTCTTGAAGGATCCTGGTCAAAATATCACCAATTATTAATTAAAGTATTCTCTTTTTAATGCAATAAGCCGTTTTGAAAAATCACTTTTAGTTCTTGAGAAAAAAATTTTTGAAATGATCGACAATCTTTTCGAATTTTGCAATTTTCGCCGATTAAGTTTTAAAAATTCGTATAAAATCCATTTCTTGGAATATGAGTATGAAAATTTCCCAAAGTGTTAATAAAAGTGTCCTCTTTCCAATGAACCAACCCGTTTTGAAAAATAACTTTTAGTTTTTGAGAAAACAATATTTGAAGTTTTGATAAAATTTTCGATGTTGCAATTTTCATCGATAACTTTCAAAATTCACTATAAAATTAATTTCTTGAAGGATCCTTGTGGAAATATCACCAATTATTAATTATAGTATCGTCTTTTTAGAGCTGCTTCGTTAGTTAAATCAGTATCAAAAAGTTCATTTTGTATCTTGTATCAGCTTTCTTATTGGTTTCATTTTTATTCAAAAATCGCAATTATGTGGCAAATTTTCGCACCTTTTCGCAAAATCACTATCCGTTCCATCACTAGTATTAAGTAGATAATATTAATAATATGACTTAAAAATATTTTGTCCGTTATATCGAGGTTTTACTGTATATTGAATTTTTACACCCCTCATTTTATTCAACTAAACCAACAAATGGTGTTAACTAGATTATAAATAATCTGGATCCCTCGTTTCCCATCCCATTTAAGGGTCATTATACAAGAGAACATAGAGAGTCGCCCAACGGTAGAGGAGGAGGGTGGCTTTAAATATCTCATTAATACACACGGGGGAAACCCCGTAGGGTCGTATTTCAAGCCCGTTACAACTGTAATGTCCCTAAACGCCACCAACAATTGCTCTAATTGGGGAGAATCGCCTTCCCAAATGGTTCTAACTTCCAACCCTTTTCCCTACTATTATAGTATATACATGTTTTCAGTTAATTTTGAGTTTGATCATGTCTTATTGGTGGATTTAAACGTTCAGCGATTAAAAAAAATAAATTTATAAATAAATATTATTCAGATATCCATCATAATTATCTCCCGAAAATCAGATAAAAAAATTATTATCAATAATCCGATGGATAAATAATAAATTATCCTCAGAAATTATCTTGTTATTTCTCTGTCGGTTTATCCGAGATGAATCTGATACCGTCTTTGTAATTTACAATTGGAAAACTACTGTTTTAAATTACATAACACAAAAAAAAATATCATTTTATCCGTATTTTATCTTAAATCTATAACCATTTTTATTTGTTGCAGGTCCAAGATCAAGAAGACTTAAAAAACCAACTAAAGCTCCAGGGGAAGATAAAAGACCAAGAACGGCGTTTTCTGGTGCTCAATTGGCGAGGTTAAAACACGAATTTAATGAAAATCGGTACTTAACTGAAAGACGACGTCAACAGTTAAGTCAAGAATTGGGTTTGAATGAGGCTCAGATTAAAATTTGGTTTCAAAATAAACGGGCGAAAATAAAGAAGGCCTCCGGTCAGAAAAATCCTTTAGCACTTCAATTGATGGCTCAAGGACTGTATAATCACTCAACGGTTCCCTGTGATGAAGATGATATGCCCCTTACGAATTAATTGATTAAATTAATTAATTAAAAAAAAATATTGGGAAAAGCAAAAATGAAATGTTCGAGTTATTATAATTATTTATTTTTTTGATTTTTGTTAAATACTTTTTAAGAGAAAAAAACTAAAAAAAATTTATTTATTGAATCATTATTTATTTTTTATCGCGATCTCATTGTAAATAGTTGTACATAAGAAATAATTTATCTTATATTATTATTAGGTATAAATAGATTTTAAAAAAAGTGAACTTTTTTTTCGAAAACAATTATTATTAATAACAGTTATAGTTTGTAATTTAGAAAATGCTTGCGAGCTTCATTGTGCTACAAAACACGTAGACTATAAAATATATAAAATAATAGTATTATTACTTAACGGGTTAACTGTTCTTAGCTATCCGCGGATATTGTAGACTTTTTATGTAGACTCGTTCTTCTTTACGGAGCCTTATCTATAGACTGATTTTAATCGTATTATTTGTCTTTAAAAACTTACTATTACTATTATATTCATTATGTACCAAGTGCAATGTTAATGTATTATTTTAAGCGCGACAAATTTTTTGTAAATACAAAGCGTTTAATAGTGAATCTAAATAGAGTTGTTCTTCCGTTTAAATCAATTGTGTTTATTTTAATCAATTTTTTAATCTCCTTTTACCTCCTTATCCTTATAACCATTCCTATAAATTAAAATAAAAACTTGATTACGCATGGTCATGTGATAAAATAACCTAAAATAAAATTCCAATCAGATTAGATGAATTGATATGATGAGATTTTCTTCGTTTATCACACATATTATTTTTAATTAAATTTTACCAAAGTGAGAACACTTGGTTTCTATCTGAGTGATCTTGATATGCCTTGATACAAATTAATAAACATTATTTCTTCTCCACGTGTGTGCTCTAATTATTATCAAAGTTAAAAATAAAAAAGTGTATTATCTCTTTTTAATTTATTTATTTAATTTTATTTTATCGCTTTTAATAATAATTAATTTGTCATTGCAAATACAAAGGGCAAAAACGGGGATATAAATTTATTATGCAATAATTACAAATTTGGGTGCAGGATACTTGGCGTGACTACTACATCGTATAAATATCTAACTTGTTTTGCAGTCAGCGAATGTTGCGTGATTATTTCAAACGCGAGTTACGAGATGATGGTAATTGGGAAATCAACACTCGAATGATTCTGAGATTTTTGTTTTCATTTAAGTCAATTGGCAAGTGATAATTTAACTGGTAATATTTCTCGGTGTTCATTTACAAATGTGACATGATTGAGGAAATTTGAATATTAATTTTTGCAATAAATAATTATCGACAATCGTTTCATGTCATTTCTACGTAACATTTATTGACCCAATTTGCGATTTTTTTTAGACATTTAGGCATCTGACAACAAAAGTGAAAGCGATCAATATTATTAAGGATTAAATTTTCTACAACTTTTGTTCGAATAGTCTCTTTGTAATATCATCCGAATCTGGATTGTTGCCATCAACTGCTTGTAAAACTACGAATTCATGTAATTTTCATATTTTGGTATTTTTCTCGATATTTAGGCATCTGACAATAAAAGTGAAAGAGAATAAAATTGTCAAGAATTAAATTTCCTACAACTTTCGTTCTAATAGTCTCTTTGTAATATGATCCGAATCCAGTGTGGTACCATTAACTGCTTGTAAAACTACGAATTCATCTAATTTTCATATTTTCGTATTTTTCTCGATATTTAGGCATCTAACAACAAAAGCAAAAGAGAACAATATTGTTAACAATTACATTTTCTACAACTTTTGTTCTAATAGTCATTTTGTAATATGCTCCAATTCCCGAGTGTTGCCATTAACTGCTTGTAAAACTACGAAGTCATCTAATTTTCATATTTTGGTATTTTTCTTGATATTTCAGCATCTGACAACAAAAGTGAAAGAGAGCAATATTTCAAGAATTAAATTTTCTACAACTTTTGTTTTAATAGTCTCTTTGTAATATCATCCGAATCTAGAGTGATGCCAGTAACTGCTTGTAAATCTACGAATTCATTTAATTTTTATATTTTTCTTGATATTTAGGCATCTGACAATAAAAGTGAAAGAGAGCAATATTATTAAGGATTAAATTTTCTACAACTTTTGTTCGAATAGTCTCTTTGTAATATCATCCGAATCTGGATTGTTGCCATCAACTGCTTGTAAAACTACGAATTCATGTAATTTTCATATTTTGGTATTTTTCTCGATATTTAGGCATCTGACAATAAAAGTGAAAGAGAATAAAATTGTCAAGAATTAAATTTCCTACAACTTTCGTTCTAATAGTCTCTTTGTAATATGATCCGAATCCAGTGTGGTGCCATTAACTGCTTGTAAAACTACGAATTCATCTAATTTTCATATTTTGGTATTTTTCTCGATGTTTGGGCATTAAACAACGAAAGCGAAACAGAACAATTTTGTTAACAATTAAATTTTCTACAACTTTTGTTCTAATAGTCTTTTTGTAATATGCTCCGATTCCCGAGTATTACCATTAACTGCTTGTAAAACTACGAAGTCATCTAATTTTCATATTTTGGTATTTTTCTCGATATTTAGGCATCTGACAATAGAAGTGAAAGAGAGCAATATTGTCAAGAATTACATTTTCCACAACTTTTGTTCTAATAGTCTCTTTGTAATATGATCTGAATCCAGAGTGTTACCATTAACTGCTTGTAAAACTACAAATTCATCTAATTTTCATATTTTGGTATTTTTCTCGATATTTAGGCATCTGATAATAACAGTGAAAGAGAGCAATTTTGTCTAGAATTAAATTTCCTTCAACTTTTGTTCTAATAGTCTCTTTGTAATATGATCCGAATCCAAAGTGTTACCATTAACTGCTTGTAAAACAACAAATTCATCTAATTTTCATATTTTGATATTTATCTCGATATTTAGGCATCTGGCAATAGAAGTGAAAGAGAGCAATATTGTCAAGAATTACATTTTCTACAACTTTTGTTCTAATAGTCTCTTTGTAATATGCTCCGAATGTCGATTGTTGCCATTAACAACTTTTAAAACTACGAATCAGCTACTCTCTGCAATTCCTACAACGACATTAGTGTTGGTTAAAGTCCTCAACAGCTACATTTAAGGTTCCAAACGGTGTGTGGTATGGTCTGGCACTTGAAGTAATATGATATCATTTTAAGCCATTCAAAAAATAATTTTGAGTTTATGTATCCCGTGTCTGAAATGGTAAAAACGCAATTTTGAAATCAATATTAAATTTGTTTCTATTAAAAACTATCATGGTAGTGTAGACCAGCACTACTAACCGTGCAAATCATGGTTGTATTGACCAAGTTCACCACATGTTGTTATAAGTTTATGCTCACCGACAAAATTTTCTAACAAATCGAAAACATGAGTGATCTCTCTGTGAATGCGTCTTGCTCTTGCGTTTCTGGAGAGAAAGATGAGGTTATGTATTGAAAAATGCTATCATTGCCTAAATAGGAAAAAAAATTATTGAGTACGGAAGTACATATTTATTTATTTATTTAACACCTCTGATTTAATGCTAACGCAATGTAGTGATGTAAAAACCCAGCACAAACAAGATATTCGCGAGATACATCAATTATTGCTCAATAACACTAATACCATCGTATTCTTTTATCAGATATTGTTATGAAATAAATAGATGCTTTATATTTACAATGAGTACCTACCTACTTAAGTAAAAAGTGCATATTGTAAAATATGTCAAGTTTGGGATAAAAAGAAAGGGACACATGGACCCAGCCTTGCAGCGGAACCTACTCGAAGAAATTTTGATTGATGTGAAATACACTAATTACATCGAAGTCGCCGATTTGAAAACATACAACAGTATATTAAATTTAATGTCTTATACCTAAACCTCTCCCGCCATTTCTTCATGTTAATCTTTTTATTTGGGATTAAAACATGAGCAAAAAGCTTGTTAAAAATCAAGTCAGAAAAATCGGTCCACTACTTGCTTCTTGTGTTTACTAGTGTTTATCTATATTTTTTCAAGGTAAAAGGTTTTTCGCCCACTTTTTTATCAATAAATACAGTTTTTTAAAAATTTTATTATAGTTGGTTCGGGAAAACGAGCGAATCTCTTTGCATTCCATTGTAGTCAGCAAATTAAATAGATACTGATCACTAAAGTAGTAAATAGACGATAAGATATATGTATATAAGTAATGTTAAATTGAATTAGGACAACATTTTAAAAAAGAATTAATGTATGATTTGTTGTGCTTTATTTCTTCTGTCTTGCAATTCATTTCAAAAGTATTCTTCTGTTTTGTCTTGATGGAGATTTCACTGAGGCGGTTTGTTCAATTTCTTTTATTGTATCCCATATTTGTCTCGTTAAAACTCCAACGGTTTTGTAAATGTTAAAGTTTTTAAAGTTTCGGATGCCCAAGCACTTAACCCAAAAGTTACTAGTTCTAGGTCTAGTGTTAGTTCTGGTGATAGTGTTAGTTCTAGTTTTAGCTTAATTTACATATCTAATTGGTCCATTTTAGTCCTTACTTATCGCAATGATTCCTTCCAAACTTGGTGAAAACTTGAAATTGTAAAATACCTTTCTGTTCATACCGTACATAAAGGGTGGGGACTTTGCAGTATTAAAATTGAGGAAGGGGAGTAATTGTCTGTGTTGGTGGGAGAAACGACGCGGTGACGGCGGCGGCGTTGTGCAAAAGAGGAAAGAGAAGCAAAGATGTGGCTAGTGGTCCGGTCGGTCCGGTGCGGCGTTTCATTTAAATAATGTTGGCGATGTATAAATCAAGCGGACCACCCGTGCGACGGTGGCTCCGCCGCGCAACCCGACACCGACACTAGCGCCAAAAATGTTAACAAGACACATGACAACTGCCGCCCAACAGCGCGCGTTCCCTTCGTTCGAACTTAGGGGCGTTTATAAATGTTTCTCTTCTCTAATGTTGCCGACACACCACCAGAACCTATAAACACAATTCTTGTACTGAGAAATGATCTTTGAAAAAAATGTATGTTC